GAAGCATAGACAAGGTTATAAATTCAACAAGGTATAAATTAGCTGTATAGCTTTGTGTGTAGGTAGGTGTCCATTTCCCTCCAGGAAATGTATCTAAGAGCATATTGCTTTTGAAAATAATAATAAAAAAATGAACCTGTATGTTGAACACAGGTAAATATGTGTAAGTGACGAGCAGGCCTGTTCCTACAGGGAAGAAATCAAGGTGTCACTCGGAAATACTGTTAATTGGAAAACACATTCAGGGGCTGATTCAAAACCCACTGATACCAGGGAGAAGGTGCCTGTGGCTTCAAACATGACATCAGGCATTTCCCCCCAGTAATATCTGAGCCTTTCCATTTGACTTCCAAAGGGCTTTGGATCAGTCCCTGGAAAAGTAATAAAATAAAAGCAAAACGAGGAAAAAAAAATCTCCTGTAATCTGACCTTCAATTTGCTTTTCTACAGTTTTACTTTCTCCACAAGTTCGTAAACAACCTGCACCTATCACAGGAAGAGCTGATTTTTACTGGAGAGTTGAGATTGCACCTTTAAAAGTTGCCAGTTGAAAGAGTTCTCACCTGTGACGGCAAAAGGTGCGAAGATTAACAAGGGCTGCTCAAAAACTAAGAAAGCCACATGATTTGCTTGTTGTTTTGTTTTTTAATGAGGAAGGTTAGTGTTACATTGTCCTTCTTACCACATTGCCCCAGAATTTGACTGCTTGAAGCTCCTATGTCAAAACCAGGGATATGATGCAGGTCTCTGCTGTTGCAAAGATAACTAAATATTCCTCTCTTCTTGATGGGATTTTTGGACAGGAACAACCAAGAACGTGTATTCTTGCATCTCGGCCCGGGGTTTTGCATTATGAGAAACCAAAGGAAAATGGAAACTGAAGAAGAAACGGGAACAAGAGAAACTAAAAAATCTGTTTGACCAAATTCTCTTAAATACGATCTATATTTTTTTCAGTAAAACCAGATCTATTTTGTCAGGAGAGCATAGCATCAAGCAGCAGAGAACACGACCCGCAGTGTGCTGCATATCAGGGCATGTGAACAGAGCAAGCACTTTGCAAAACAGCAAGCAGAGCAATAGTGCAGGGTAGAGCCAAACTCGTGTTATTTGGAAAATCAGTGACCATGATCTGTCTCATCACCTGCAAGCTTTGAGTATCAGCTTATCAGCAAGATTAGTTGAATGAGATGTGGATTTCCAAGGCCCAGCAGTCTTGCATTATTTTCCTGTGTAGAATGGCAACACTCAAGCTGCCTAGTCAAATGGGGTAATCATTGTGTCTTCCATGCCCTTGGTCCTGCAGCTAATGGGGACTAGGAGAGAGCTGCAGCATGTTCCGTGCACGTAAGCAGGTTCTAAGGCCCACTGAAATGCCAGTCATTGATTTCAGCTCCCAGGAAGCCCCCAACCGTTTGAGGACCTCCCTTCTGTGCCCGTGTGTTTGCTGCTTCAATAATGTGGAGACCAAAGAGGCACTGGCTTTAGCCATGTGTATGCAGGTACAGTGTCAGTATTTTGTGAGCAACCTGGCACCCAACTGACAGGCAGCCCAGTCCTGACAGAGCTGTGATCTTGAGAAGAGTTTGTGCCCTTGCAGTGGTTCACTGTCCTGGAAAAGCAACCACAAGAGAGAGAGCTGCCAGCTACATGTTCAGAGCACCTGAGTTTTGAGCTTCTGTGGCACAAGAGAGCACTCAGCATGTGGCGGTCTCTGACACTTAAACTAACTCGAGAGTTTCAGCAGTTAGAGAATATGAAAACCACGTGTGCCCTGGTGTACAACACAGTCTCTCATTCCTCAGGGTTCCTCTGCAGCTGAATATTTGCTATATCTTTTGGATGGGATGACCCAAAATCTACCTCTGCATTGTGGTAGTGCCTGGTCGTGTGTGCAAAATTGCCGTAGAAAAAAATTGAGGAAAGAAAGGGGAGTATAGTTGAGGAGTAAAGTATAAGCAAAGCAAGGAATCAGGCAGGTCTTCAGAAACCAGCAAAGCAAGGTCCCCTCTGCTGGTTGAGAACCTAGTATGGGCAAATAGTCTAGGAATATGGGCAGAGAAAGTGAAATTGGTCACATGGCTTGGCTGTTGATCTGGAAAAGTCTTTGTCACAAAAGCCCTGGCTGGAGGCATAAAAGTGCCAGATTAAAATTCTGGTTGCCAGTCAACCAAGGCAACGTGATCTAAGCTATTCGTAGGAAGATGCAATAAAAGGTAAAGAAAAGTGTCTTTGGAACTGGCTCAGCCAAGTCAAACTGAGTGACACAGAGAGCATGTTCCAAGCTAGCATCTCTCACCTAAATTGAAGTACCATTGGTAGTACTTGACATCATCATCTGTACTGGTGAAACATCATAACCTAACTCAAGATATCAAGACATCACAACCTAACTCAATGAGAGCAACGTTCCGTACAGCTACATTCAGTTTGATGAAGCTAGATTAAATACCATCTCATTTTTGCCACGTGTTCCCCTTGAGCTCTTGTGCGCTTTGCTCTCAATGTAGCAGAAAAAAAAACTTCCCATTAAATCAAATAATATTCCAAGGAGGTGAGCTTCAGGAGAGAACTGAATTGCAATCCAAACAGAGGCAGAAGATGTTGGGAAAAGAATAAGGAGCCAAAAGAGCCGTTGCAAGATGAGTGCTTAGGGATGATTACGAACAGAAAACAGCAGCAATATTTAATCCACAGTATGAGACAGACCATGTTCATGTTGTCCTCTTTGGCTTCTTTGTAATCCACAGAGCATAATTTCAATAGAAATTGAGTAGAACTGTGTTCCCTGGCCCTGAAGATGGCTGTGCACCACAGTGGAATCGTTGCTGAAGGAGCAGCAGTTTTAAGACCAGTTGTCAAATATGCGGCCAGTCCAGGTCAGCCTTTCAACATCAGTGAATTGCTCTGTAAAAGAATAAAGGACCAAAGTCCTCCAGTGTAAATGTTGGGAAACGTCCTGATTCTGGGCCTCAAAAACTGTATCAAAATTAGCAGCTAAGACTTAAGAATTTTGATTATTGATGGCAAAGTCAACCCCCTTTACAGAAGGAGATGCCCAACTTCTAAGGCAGTTTTCTGTTTTCTGTAAAACCTTTAACATTGAACAGTGCTAACAAAAATGCCCTTGGAAAAGCCAGCTAGCAAAGTTTAATTTTAAGGCTTATAAGGAATTGGTCATTTTTGCTTTTCCCTTTGAAAAGAAGTGGGTAGGCTATAAAAAAGAATGTGTAAATTTGCAAAATTTGCTGAACCCAGCAAAGGTGTTAAGATAATGATGCTGTGTATTTTTTCTGCATTTCTTTGCACTGTTTTCATACCCTCTCAAGAAGCACTGAATTGAAGCACTGAATCAGCGGCAGAGCTGAATCAAATTCTTGGAATTTCACGTTTTATTTATTTATTTTTGAATGATACATTTTCCCTCAAATCTCCAGGATTACTTTTGACCCATTTGAACAGTCAAAAATGATAATTGCTTTAAACCCCAGTGGCATTTCCCGAAAAGGAAGGCAACTTTTTAAGGCAGGAATCTTTTCCTCTTACGAACTCTAGGGTTTTTAGTTACATTGTTATTTAAACACAAATATTAATGTAAGTGTAAGCATGACTATGAGCATGGCTGCCTGGAGAAGACTTCAGTCAGCAGAAGGACTAAGAAATACTTGTGTTAGCTTAAAGAACCTGCCACTGAAATGGCTTAATATTTATAGTGACCTGCAATCATATCCCTGGTGCCAATAAGATCTTAAGGACTGATCATGGTGTATTGAAACCAGTGGGAAAATTCCCCTTGTTTCCAGTAGCCTATGGATCAATCCCTAAAGTCTTGACTCGGCAAAGGCATAAATACATTTTCCATCACTGAAGCTAAAAAGTGCTTAACAGCAAGCAAATATTCAGGGCTCTGTTACATTTGAGCCTGAGGGGTGGTCAGCACCTGTAAAAATGCATTCTTACCATCTTCAAAATGCTGTCAGTTTTATCCTTTGGCTTCCAGATTAGTCTGTCTCCTTCTGCAGAACTGTTGAGAGTAAGAGGACTTATCCATAGCCTGTTAAATCAGTAGAAAGAGGCAGAAATGGAATCCGTTCCAGCTTTCTTAAAGTTACAAGCTTGGAAAACCTCCTACTGAGTTGCCCAAGGGACCATAACAACATCTTTGTGTTAGACTAAAACTTACAGCTCCTTAAAAATAGATTGACATCAGGCATCGTAATTGAACCTACAGTTTCAGTGATACGCTGCAATGTCTGTGAAATCTTTTTTTTTTCCAAAATTTCTAATTTATAGACTTTTTCAAAAGAGTAAACTAGCAATCTAGATCTCTTCAAATCCCAAGCGCAGGATCTTATCAGTTTTAAGCAATAACTCGTTCTCCAAGTGGAGATATCACTAAAAAGACTTCATATCACAAACACCACACAAAGAATAACATCAAGCAAATAACGGCATGTGCTCAGTACGAGGAAAAGAACTATTTATTTAGCACAGCGAGTTCAATCATTTAAGCCTTCTGTCTCACTCTGATGCTGAGAGATGAATTTGCTCTTCTCAGCCTACTTCTCACTGGACATTTGATCTCAAAACGAAGCCACCACAGAACCTGGCACATCAAGGCCGAGCAGGAGGTGTCTGCTAAAAACGGGAGTCCCTGGCAGGTCGAGACTGAGGAGCATTGGCCCAGCTGCGTGCATAGGAGCTTGTATGGCCTCTATGCTTCATCTACCTGCCTCCAACCACCCCTAGACCCACACTTTGAAGAACGCCACAGCCCAGTCTGGTATAGTTCAGTATAGCCTAAGAGAAGTGCCTTGTGTTCAAGCGAGTAGCCCGCATGCCTATCGAGGGGAGGGAAAGGTAGTTTTGAGCTTCTAGCGCAGTGGGGACGTTGTACATTCAACACCTCGCTAGCCGTACATTCTGTGCAGTGATGAGAAACCAGGAACAAAAAAGGAAAAAGGGAAGCTGATGTGCTGTATGGCGTGGGGCAGATGGCACAAAAAAAGACATCACAGATACTCTGTGTGAATGCAGGGGAACAAATGACGGGGCGTCTCCGGGTCTGTTTTGTTTTTACTTTTTTTTTCCTTCCAAGAGTGTGGCTTTACCCAGACTGCAGTGATATAAATATATATATTATATGTATGCATCCATCCATACATATACAGAATAGTCCTGAAGGCAGGGTTGTGTATATACACATACACAAGCACACACAGTAACACAGGTGTTTTCCAAACCACCACAAAGCTCTGGACAGCAGACAAAAGTGTTAAATAATCCCAATAAATGAAAAATCCCTTAGGGGCAGGACATACCAAGGAGACTGAGCATAGGGTTACATTCCCAGATGATGAGCTGCGGGCCCATCGCCGTTACTATGATTTTTTTTAGATAATTTGAAATTTCATCTGAATAATTTCAGATGAAATTCCTGGCCTTGCATCTGACTTCTCTAAGAAGGGGTTTAGTGGTGAACAGAAATTTGAGGTCATGGCCCATGCTGGCTGAGAACTGTTTTTCCCTCTTCTGTTAGCAAAGGTTGAAGCAAAGATATAAAAACACCTAAAAAAAAATAATGAGAGACTCAAGGGAAGCGGTCATTCTCTTTTCCTCCCCATATCAGTCTATCCTGGTCAATGCAGAGTAGCTGTCACGTTATCACACACCATTAGAAAACTCATATGCCAGAGACTGAGAGGGACAGAGCAGGCAGGGCAGCTGGAAGCATCTCGAACAGACAGGACTCTTGAAAACAGAAGTCACTGTCTGGAAATCACCAACCCTACACGGGCAAAACGTGAATCAGAACGGGGACGGCCAGATCTTCTCCCTCGTGAGCAACATGACTGAAATTCCCCTGTAGCCAAGAATCTCATGATTTGGAGGTCTAAGGGAAGGAGAGCCCCAGAAGGGCTCTCTGGTAGCTGCCTCTAAGGGCACCTTTTGCTGTCCCCAGTGGGCACTGGCCTCCCAGTTGTGGAGATGGGCTTCCTGGCTGGACCGTGTTGCTATTTGCTTCTAGTCTGTGCTTCCCTTGAGGGCTGTTGCTGAGCATCTCTGTTTCACATCTCTGCTTTCCCACCACTTTTCATGCTCCCCTTCTATCATTCATGCCTCCGCTTCCCAAATAACCTCCGAGCATTGACAAAACAGGATGAGGGAAAATCAGTTCTTTAGACAAAAATGACGTTATAGAAACACCCAGCTGTGGACCCCTAGTTCAATAACAAGAAGTTTTCCAGGCTCTAAATAATACACATTCATAATACAGGCAAAAAGTGCTTTAAGTTACCAGGATTTCACCTGTGGCTGCTAGCACACGGCCCAAAACCAGTGTGAACCCAACCTACACATGTCGCTTAGGCTGTACTGCTAAAGGTAGATGTAGACCTAAAATTCTAGCTGTGTTGAATCTGTTTTTCATCTGAAGGTGGCATTAGAATGGGACTGGGAATTCCCAAACTTTGGGAATAGTCTCAGAGCCTTGGGAAAAAGAGGTGGATGACAGATCTCAGCACAGGAATGACCAAGCTGTGGCCAAAGGCTTTGTGTTTTGGGAGGTCGTATGTACCCAGCAAGCCAAATTTGGAAATAAATAAGAAAGACGTGGGCCAAGAGAGGTATTACCAGCTTGAGTCATACACATCCACCATCCTACCCACTAGTATCTGCAGTACCGCAGGAGTGTTCACCTTTTCTTTTTGTCTGGTACCCACATCCTGGTATACATCCAGGCTCAGTTAAACACCATGCACTTAGGCCCTGTTCCTAGTCTGTTTTGATCTCCTTTTCACAGCGCCTGTGAAGCATCACTCCCACAGCCGGCCTGGTGAGCTCCAAGGACTCGTTCTCTGTGCTTCTGACCCCATCTCAGCACTGACCCTGTTTAAAAGCAGAATATAAGCCAAAATAGCCTAAAAGAAACCCTCGGAATAATGAGATCTGCCCTTGGTGTTTCGGGAAGGGCATCAGCCAGTGCATTAAACACTCTCACTCTCTTGCCATCTGCCTTCCTTCCCTTCCTCCTCACAAGGTCAGGCTTTTGGTCAGAGATACTCACCAATGAAACCCATCTTTCCGTGAGCCCTGGAAAATTATTTCCAGCTTCAAAGCATGGAAAAGTCACAAATCCCTGCTACAGTCATAGGAGGGAGGAAAGAGATTCTTGTACGATACATGGATTTTCAGTGCTCTTGGATAGGATTCCCTGATGTAAAACATATCTCATGGGCTCCAAACTATTCTTACAGGGTCCTAGATCCTGTCTGCCCCTAAAACCACATCTTTTCTCTCTTTTCTCGATCTCCTCATGTACAGAGAGGCCACAGCCTTTAGTGGGAAAACATTCAGATGAAAGGCCTGATCCAAAGCCCCAGGCAACGAACAAGAAGGGTCCAGCTGACTTGAGTTCACGCTGAGCTCACAGCATCCTGCAAAGCATGGCCTAAATTAAGGACATCCTAGATCCAAACCGAAGTGTCTCCGTCGCTGAGCGCTGCCCACACGACCTTGCCAACGGCAAGCAGCTCCACACACGCTGTCTGGCTGCCTGAGGTCGCCGTGTCCCTTGTCCGGTGTCTCCGGGCACGGCGCGGCTCCCTTTGCTCCATCTCCAGCTGGCAGCTCGGCCGGAGAAAAACACTTCTCGTGACATCCCGAGGTGCTCCCTTGGCTCTGCCCTGCTGCAGGCTCAGGCCAGCTCGTGCTCTCTCTGGGCACTTAGAGGTGCTTGTTGTTTAGAGTTGAGGTGCTGAGCAGCAGGTTGCCAGGCATCCATTAGAGACCACTTTGCTGCTTGGGTCAAGGACCTGCCTTCTCCTGTGATGCCTACTGATATCCCTGCCCTGGGTGGCTGCAGGCTGAGCACCAGCCCAGCACGCGGTGATGGGAGAACAGGGCTTTGGCACCAGGCTCCGTCTCCCCTTCCATCTTCTTTACCACAGCCCAACTTAAACCAAACGGAAACCAAAACACAAAGCGGGGACTCTGGATGGGACAAAGAACACTTTGGAATTGAAAACAGGGGACTGCAAGAAAGATGGGGGTGTCTCCCGGGGAGGACAGCAGGGGAGGGGAGGGGACACCATCATTTACACCAATCGGGAGAAGCTGTAATCTATACACAGTGATATAAGCCAAGATATATTACATGAAAGAACACACTGAGTGCATGGAGTTACCCACAATGGGTCAAACTGGCACAGTTGTCCTTGACAAGACTCTTGGAGTTGCAGTTGGTACTGGTTGTTGACCTAGCTAGCTCGCTCTATATATATATAGATATGTATAGAATTTTCTGCATGCATTTGTCCCAAAAGGAACTATACAACCAGGTTGGGGGTCTCGGCCCCCTCCCGTCTCCGTCTTCATTTTTTCCGGGCTAGGAAGGCCACTCCCACAATCACAGCAAGCGTGGCCACCGCCACTCCTCCGATGATGATCAGGGGCTTCATGTTGTCAAAGATGCTGCCTGGCGACTCCTCACTGCTGTTTTCCTTGTGGTCAGAGTCAGGGGACTGGCCGGTGACCTCTTGCGTTTCCGTGGCGGCGGGGCTGGGCTTCAGGTTGCTGTGGTTGTTCACAACAGCAGCATCACTCCCTGCCTTCTTCATGGTAGAGGCAGCAGCCGCAGGTGCTGGCTGCTCTTTGGAAGGAGTTTCCTTCTTCTCTGCATTCGTGGCAGGCCCAGGGTTGGGCTTTTCCACCTTTCCCGAGCTGGGAGCCTTGGCATCAGGTTTGTTTCCACTGCGGACGTTGCCTTTGGAATCCATCCCTACAAATGCTCTGGGCAGCGATCTGATGTCAGATGCTCCGGGCACCTCTTCCCCTTTGCCCTGGTGCTGGAGAAAGCTGAGGAGTCCCCTCAGGTGGATGGCTCAAGCCCTTGGAGCGGTTGCCTTGGGATGATTCCGACAGTGGTGGGTCCTACCTGGGCATGATACAGCACCTGCGAGAAGAAACAGAGCAGGGAGATGTGAGTGAAGAGGAGAAAGGAAACGAGCACTGTGCCCCCCAAGGCAGCAGGAGAGGAGAGAACACATGGAAAACGCTTGGTTCTTTCCTTAGGAATTGTGGGCTGCATTCAAAGCACATGCTGCAGTGCCTGTCCTGGAGAGAACAGGCTGCAGCAGCTGAAGGCTGCAAGCCCTTCACTGTGACTGAATTAGCAACCAGCCTTGGCAAGCCTGGAGCCCTTAGATGGGCTAAGTCAGTTAGTCACTCTTGAGCTTCGCTGAGTAGGTCTCGGAGCTTCTCTTGGGAGCCCATAGCCCTGAATACAGCTCCGTGTTTTCTTCCTTGGGTGAACAAGGCTCAGGGAAATGAATTCTCACAATGGGACTCTTAAGCACAGCTCCAATAATAGAACAGAGGGAAGGGAGGAGGAAGAAGAGCTCAGCATTATCATGTGAAAGCAGGATGGGCCCACAACCTTCTGCATCGCTGCCAGCAAAGCCTGGGGTAGGTGCTTCACCAGGATTTTACAGAGACTTACACTTCATGGCCACAGAATGAGGCTAAAACCTTTTTTGAGTGTTGTTGCCACAGTTAAGTGTGATGCATAAAAACTATAAGCCGGCCTGTTGGACTGGAGCGGTGCCAATGTTCATCAAGCTGGCAGTGTCTTCCAGGTTCCTTCCTTCTTCCCTGCCAGGTCCACATTGCCTTGGTCTCTGTACCCCTCTTACCTCTCCCACCCATACAACCCTTCCACTCAGTCACAGTTTTCACACTTAGAAACAACTCTGCATGGCTGGAGGTCGGGGAATATCCTGGACTGTGGCGGCACTTCTTTACCATCACCGGTGTATCTGCCCTCTGCCTGGTGCTGGCAAGGTGAGAGTACACCAGGGTTTAGATGGGGCCCCATTTCTCTCTCTTCTCATTCCCAAAATTAGTCTGTAAATACAAATGCCCACACAGGGGCTGTTCAGTTCACACCTGGGATATCCCACCCACCCTAGCCATAGAGGCAATGCCGTTCCTCAATGACAAGATATACTCATTTCCAACCCAACAGGGCTTAATTTTCATTTGCTCAACACATTTGCCTTCCTCCTAGGTGAAGGAGAGGGCATTTTGTTCCACGGGAAAGCAGATCAGTAGCTTCTCCCTGCCTGCAACGCGCTGCTTGTTCTGCAGCATCATCCCAGCTACGTTTAGCGAGTGGTAAGTGTGTGATCTTGCCTGATATTCCCCATCCAGATGGTTGCTATTGAAAAAGCAGGGATTAATTCCATGATTACCAAAGCTAGCAGAGCTATAAGGATCGTGGTAGCAGTGTTTTGGGTGGGGCTACTGGAAAATAAAGCAAAGGCCATCTCCTCAGCTAGTGTGAGCTGATAGAATAACTGCAGTGCAATTGTGTGGACTGACTCCTGTTTCCTCCTTGCAGCAGCTAGCTGGGCTCGCCTGTGGTGAGGAGCACCCAGCCCATCAGCTGGAGCTGTTTGCACGAAGGAGCTGATGGAAGCAGTGAACAGCACGGGTGGATCCGAAGCTCAGCAGATGGACCAAGCGGCCTGCAAGAGGGTTGTGAGAGCACAGCAAAAAAACCATCCACCAACGCCAGCCCAGGTGGGATGAGGTCTGGGCAGGGTGAGCGGGGAGATGGGGCTCCTGTGGCTACAGCATTACTGCTCCCCAGCGGAGGAAAAGGAGCAGCCAGAGGGCAGCTTGCTGGGTGTTCAGGAGCTCAGCTTGGTGCTTGGAGGATAACGAGGAGCAGGAGGCTGCTGTCAGATCTGGGTGCTCCTGACCTGCTTCCTTGTCACCTTGTCACCTTGAACTTCAGCACTGCCAGGGGCCTGCCGAGAGCTTTCTGTCTGCTAAATGAAGTAGGGGTTTGTTAAACATCTGGAATTAGTAATCCAGAGGCTCCTCAGAAACCTCCAGAGCCAACCAGTGTCTGCAGATAGATACTTGCTCCAAAACGGCTCACAGGGTCTAGATTACTCCTTTAATAGCAGACAGGGAGAAGGTCCCAGGCTTGCAGCAAAGCTCTGTGTTGCTGTCTCTTCCAGGAAACAGGCTAATAAATGTTCTGTGTTTTAACTTCCAGCTGGGCAGAAAGGCTGGACTGGAAGAAACTTATAAAAATACAGGATTTGGGCTCAGAGGGAAATGGGGCAACAGTTCGCTGCTTGGCATGAGTGAGAAACTACCCTTTCTGCTGCTGTCCCCTGTGAGCCATTTCTTGTCTAATGGCTTCACTGATGCCTTCCAATGCCAAAATCATGGAAATCTGTAGCTCACGCTGCATCAGGCTTGGTGAATCGTTGAAAAGTGAGAGGCTGATATTCTGCCCCTAGGGTTTCACAGCCAGCTTTAAATAAAGAAGGCACTAGTCTTCCCTTAGATTTTCAATTCAGTTTAGCTTCAGGCTCTAGCTGGGCAATACTTGCTTACATGGCAGAGTACGTGGCCTTAAATGGTGTCCTGAAAAATGAAAGGAGGAAACAATGTTCTCTCTTGCCACTGAAAATCAAAACCTGAAGATCTCCCCTTTGAAACACAAGATGTCAACACTCTGATTCTTCACTGAGGTCAGATCAGTTGGGCATCTTTCACCACCCAGAAACACAAGCCTGGATGCTCACTAAGCTGAAGTGTGGGGTTAAATTGTGGTGTGGACACTTTGCTGAGATATGGGGATACTCCAAGGTACCTCACTTTATGTCCTCTCTCATCTATACCCTTGATGGAACAGATCTGGATGCCAGGCTCCTTGAAGCAGCAGAGCTGTGGTGTTGCTCCTGGCCTATGCACTAATAAAAGCAGTTCTTTACAATAATTTCTTGCTTTCTAAGTGAGCGTCACCAAAAGGAATGCAAGTCCCTTAGGCAGATTAGAAAAGGTTTTAAAAATTTGGAAACCAAACTAAACTAAAGTAAATATCTGCAGTTCTTAAGTATCCTCATGGAAGGGCCTTCCATCCATGGTTTTCCATCAGTGGAACTAGCCATCAGGAACATTTGCCTCACAGCCCTTGTTTAACTGTCTACAAATGAACCCGAGGGACTTGGCCACTGCTTTGGTCCTTACGTACTTCCAATACCTGCACGTTGATGCTGATTCTTGTATAACCTTGAGCTTCATGACATTTATTTTAAACTTCTGTCTGTGTCAGCCAAAAGGAGTTTGGTGCATCCTGCAAAATTCATCCCAAAGTTGTTGCTATTTATCTGATCCATTGATTTCTTCTCTCAGCTTTCCTCCTGCCAGTGACCTGACTCTCCTTGCCTCGTCTTAGCTGCTTGTTCAGCCAGGAGAGTGCCATAGTGCTGAGCTAACACATACAGCCCCTTGCAATGCCCATCTAAAGCAAGTCCTCAAACCTGGGGTTAGTGCTGGGCTTGCAGGTGCTTGCACTGCCTTTCCCTTTGGGGGCTGCCTGCCAGCAAAGCATCCTCTTTGAGCACTGAAGTACTTAACCCTCTTCCATAGCTGGTCTGCCAAGCAGAGCATCATCTCCTTGAGCACCATCTCCTCCTCTTTTCGCCCTCCTTCCCCTTTTCAGTGCCATGCTTTTGAGAGCATGAGGATGTGCTTATCTTTAAGCATCTCTGCAGCCCACTTGAGATGGAAAAGAAGGGGCTTCTCTGGCTTTCAGAAACTAAGTCTGTGTGTAGTGGTGTGAGACTTTTCCCCCCCACACCTTTGTCTCCATCCCTCATTTATTCCATCACAAGGAAAGTTGCTCTCTAATGACCTGCTTATCTGCCTTTGCTCTTTCTTCCTTTATAGCTCATTACATCTAGTTATTCCTCTCTTCCCTCTCTGTCCCTCTGCTGCTTCTGCCTATCCAGTCCTCCCCCTTCCAGCTCCCTCCCTCTGCCTCCCACACAGACAACAGTACTTGAGAATTAAGGTTTGGTGAGAAAGCAACTTCATCCCCCCCACATTCCCTCATGTCATTTCTTTGTTTAACAATCTGTGCATTTTCAGGGAGGTTTTCACTTGGCAGCAGCAGACTATCTTCTTCCCAGGCCAGGAAGAGGAAACAGAGATGATGAAACAAGTGATCAAGAAGAAAACAGGAAAAGAAAAGCCCCAGAGGTTCCTGCAGCTGTGAGAAGAAGCTGGCGGTTACTGCAGTTCTCCGGGGCTGCTTCTGGCTGCTGCAGCTCCCAAGGTCAGTGCAGTAGGAGCCATTGCTCTACCAGCTACCCACAGCCAAGGCAGGAGAGCCAACACAGGAATACAAATTCCTCTGCCTCCTTGAAGGGCATTTTTTTTTTGCCCCAACTTCACCCGTCCAGCAAAATAGCAAATTGCATCTCTTCCTCCATCTCCTGTGGGTGCGGATGAAAGCTGCATCAATCCTGCACTGAGTGGAAGGGATGAGTCATTTCAGTTTTATCAGAACAGAAGGCCTGTCCTCTTCCCTCTTCAATGACCAACCCCATCCCGGAGCCTTGTGATCTTCCTCTTGCTGTTGCAAGTTAGAAATAAAAGGCATGTCCTGGAGGGAACAAGACCTCCTTCCTCCACTGTCCACTTCTGGAGCCCAGGCATCTGTATCCTCTCCCTTACCAGGCAGGTAAGGCCTGAGTCCTGCCTGGCTCCAAACCTCTCCTGTGCTGGCCAGGTGGGAGTTAAACATCTTGCCATTTCCTTATTTATCTGAATTTATACTTGCAACAACAACAACAAAAGGATCCAGCTACCAATTCCAAGTGTCCTCCACTTGCAAATACTCAGAGAAAACTACTGGTCAGGTTTGACCTGCAGCAATGCCATGTAGTAAGGGTCATAAATTAGCAGAAAAGGCCTTAAAATGTGTTGTACCCAAGAATGTGATACCCACTGCAGTCCTCATCATATCCCTCAGCCAATTGCTCTTACACAGACAGAGGAAGAGGTTTTCACCATCACCAAGGAGTAAGGGATGCTGAATGCCAATTAATTCCAGGAGCTTCTCAGATCCCTTAGGCAGGTTTTGTGTGTTTCAGCTGGCACGCCTGCATTTGGTCACTTAAGATCGAAGTAGCTTTCTAAGGCATGGAAAAAAAAAAGCCCTCATTTCAGACACACAGATTCCCTTTGGCGAGTGCAATTTGCACCTGCCAAAACTGGCTCATGGGCTTGAATCACCCTCACGGATTCAGGCACCAGCAACAGCTGGTAGGTGAAGAGCAGGTAATTTTAGAGTGAAGTCCTCAGATTTTGTTCCTATGGCAGATTGTGCATGTAAATAGGGAAATTAGGATTTGGCCACTTTGAAGAGGCTCCTGAAAAGAAACAACTTCTTGGAAGAAAAAAAAAAAGACATAAAAAATTGATTGTTTTGATGAAGGCGGCTGTGAACTGAAAGTGCAGGGAGACCAGGCTGTTTAGAAGCTGGAGCTGTTACAGGGCAGAGCCAGCACTGCCACAGACTTCTCTATGTGACCTTTGCATGTCTCTTAAGCGTTCTTCTTCAATGCCTCATGAAAACTGACTCTGTGTTACAAGGAGCTGAACTCACCAATGTGAGAACCTCAGGTGGGAGAGACTATAGATGTATGAAGTATTACCATTGCTAAAGAGGTCTTATCTGAGGTGGTCAGAAGAAAACTGGAAATCAGCTTGAGCATGTGGCTAAGGCCACTTGCTGATGTGCTGAGGAAGGTTTTGTCAAACCAAAAGTATTTTGGTTTGACAGGTGAAGGTCTCTTCAAGGAGAGTGGAGGATGTGCCTGGGCCACCTGGCAATGCTGCTTCATTGCCACTTGTGGTTTCATGGTATCAGGAAGAAACAGGTTGCAGTCAAGCATGTTGTTACAGGTGAGCTAGAGAAGGGATTATTGCAGAGAACCAAGATCCTGAAGCTCAAGACCATTCTCACCTGCCTGCCTTCTCCCAAAGACAGTCCATCAGCCAATCTCCCCATGCACAAGCATGTCCTGAAAGCTTGATCATGGGTTCAACATATCCAATGTATGTCCAACAGCAGGAGGGGTCACTTAAAAACTTCCATTTCTAGGTGGACAATGCCAGCCCTGGACCTGTGACCACTCAGAAACAGGGAGGTGGAAGGATGTATTTTGCAGTACTCTGCTTGCCTATTTTTCACACCAGCCTCCTATATCCAACCCCTTCTTTGCCCTCAGATACACAGGACATTGTGGTGATCTCCCTGAGGTAAAGACACCATTAAGTTTTGTAGTAAATGAGCTCCGACTCTATTTCCATGTCACGGTGATGTGGACAACCATTGCACTTCAGACCTAAGTGCTCTGTACCAGGCACTCTGTCAGCACCTGACTGTCCTTTGCACCTCCCCGGGTCCCAAAGACAGCTTGAAAGTGAATTAAGGAAAGAAGGGACCAGAAGCATGGGCTGGGAGGACCACGCTGCAGGAGGCAGTGTGCTTCTGGCTAGCTGAAGTGCATTTCATACAAGAAATCATAAAAGCCTCATTTAAAAAATTATGAGGATTTGTCCCTCCACAGCTGTTACCAGAAGACTAGGCCAAAATATCAGTCTTCTGAGAGGTAAGAATTAGAGCTAGCATTAGAATTAACTTTCTGACACGTGGCCAGGTTAGCCCAGCTTCTTCCCCTGGCAATCACTTTGAGGAGCCACTGACTTGAACACAGCACCTGCACTGTCCTCTGAGGATATCTGTTCATCAAATTGATTGCACCATCCACTAGCATCTCCTACTGCTTCTGGAAACTGAAGAGGCATCAGCAGTCAGTTGTGTCTTTTGATTTAAGTCGCTCTGCTTCATTTTAGTATCTCTATATCCACACAAACTGTTCAGGCTGAACTCCTCTCCACTGTATAGGCCTGGCTTGACTTGAAGTCAACATTTTAGAATGAGCTTCTACCCAGCTCTGCCAGAAATACCTTGCTTGAAATATCCTGGGTTCGCATTTACTTCTTCCACAGAGGCCTGCAATCGGACCCAGCAGCTGGTGCGGCCCTGGGAAGGAGTAAAGGGAGTGAAGGGTCTGTGGGAGGCTGAGCTCACACAGCAGCTGTGCTCATCAGCAAGCGAGAAGGCCTCATTTTCCATCTTGCTCCCAGCAAACAGATCTGTCCTCTCCTTAAAGAAAGAAATCAACCACTCAGCTACACAGCCAGAGGTGGCTGACCCATTTCCCTGGTGTGGTTGATGGAGAGCCTTCCCCACCCAAGGCTTTGCTCGTCCTGCAGTTTGGAGCCAACAGTGGTCACTATGATACCAGCCCTGCAGGGAGGACCAGAGACACTTTGCTCACATCACTGAGTCAGCTAGGTTGGGACCTCTATCTAACTCGAGACCTTGGGATCAGCATAGAGCGTTCAGGTTATTATGGCTGGCCACATTAGTGCTGGATTGGTAAGTTCCCCAAAAGTCTTAGATGTGATGTTATTGTAAAAACAGCCCAAGATGAACACAGTCTAATTCCACTCCTGCTGCAGTTGAAACTTGCTGCTAGCTCCAAGGGATCACACTTGGACTCCTGACCTTCTTATCTAGCCCCTAAGTACTGTGTCCTGGAGGACCGTGCACCAGGCTGCTGCCTCGGTGGCGCACGGATTGCTTCCCCTGGGGTCTGTCCCTCTGTTTCTGCTGCCCTCCAGAGGATGAAAGGTTTCAACAGGACTAGAGAGACAAGGTCTCTTCCCTGCCTCGTTCCAGGCACTTGCTGTGATTCTGAGCACCTCATTTTACTTCTCAGTGCCCCAGTTCATGAAAGGGGCAAATGACATTTCCCTGCCTTTCTGAGCTGTGGTGGGAGGAAACACTTTTGGGGCAGTGAAACGTATGATGAGCACCTAAGAGAAGTGACGGCAGAGTGTGACTAAGCCTCTTGCCCGTCCCCAGGAACACACAGATGAGGTAATGCAGCGCCTCGCAGCAGGGCCATAAATATTATAGCAGCTTTACATAAGATGTTTGCGTTGAGTTTAGCTGCTGCAGGCACCTCCCCCATGGAGGTTTTTAGTTACCTCGCCTGTTTTCCCCCACCTTGACGTCACCATCAACGCGATAAAATGTGCAGGCGATGCAACTACATCAGGAACCTTTTTTTCTTTTTTTTTTCCATGCCTCCCTTTTAAGATGACGTGCCGGGAGGTGGCTGTGCTTGGAGACAGCAGCACCACGTTGCAGTAAATATTGTTGACCCACTTTGCTGCAAGGAGCTATTGCTGAAACCCTTTCCCGAGCTGCCGCTTGCTCCTCCCCACATCCCTGCACCCTGGCCCGGCATTAAGCGTTTCCCTGTCAGAGAAACCCTTTGAACCTTGACAGGGAGAGTGTCGGAGAGCTGAGAGTGCCTTCACGGGCAGCCGCTGCTTCAGATCGCTGCCGTGCACCAAGACCCGGCATCTTCCCTGGCACAGCCAAAGCTGTGGGGATCATCTGCCCATTGTCCCCACGCGTGGCAGCCCTCATGGGACCCTGCCCCTTGCTCCCCATGCCAGCGAGACTTGGCACCTCCCTCCCTGCTCAGGGGGGAAGCATCGGCTGTGCCCGGTGGTTATGCCATGCATGGCACCAGGGGGTCTTTTCTGAAGTCAGAAAGTCCCCATGAAACCAACTCCTTCAAGCTTCCACCACAGCGTTCATCCCATAGGGTCCCAAAGGGGCATCTAATGATGCAAGCTTTTCGCTGCCTGGCACGCCGCACTTTGCCAAAGCGACACCAAGTCCCTATTCTAAAGGCTCAGCCACCCAAGGACATGGTCACCTATGGCAGAAACACGGGAAGCATTACCGTATATTTGCCTCCAAAAACTGCCAGGCAAATCACCGGCTTTGATGTCCATAGGGGTCGGCACCAGCTTGCGCAGGGTATAGATCCTGCCCTAGGTTGGCAAAACCACGCAAGTTGCATGGGCAGCCACCCAAGTGCCGTCACCCTTCAGATGCAGCTGAGCCTGCGCTGCTCTCAGACACGCAAAAACATTTTGAGCATTACAGAAAACACCTTGCTGGGGTTAAACATCCCTTCTTTTAAGCATCCCTTCTGACATCTCACTTTGCTTGGCTTGTTCTTGGCTATAATTCTGGCTTTCAGAGATGCCCTCCGACTTTTAGCCCTTCCAAAGGTGATAGAGCTTAATATTTTCCTTGACGCAAGGCTAAATGTCACTCACTCTACAGCAGAAATTTGGGGAAGCAGAAAAGAAAATACTCTGCTGGGATGACTTTTCTTGGAAAATACTCAGCCAGGATGACTTGTCAGATGGCAGCTATTTGGCATTGGCAGGGCATCCATCGAAGCACTGTGAGCAGTTGGGTGATGGGGCCGGTTTTGCTACTTCTGCTTCTACTTTTGTTTTTTTGTGGTGCGCAATTTTGCCACTGGTAAGGCAGATTTCCCTTCTAAATTAGCTTTTTAAGGTCACTTCCAGGCCAGCTAATGGGACCCCTCTCTCACACACACACAAAAGCAATAGCCACAAGCCAAAATGAAAAAAAAAAAAGAATCATCTCTGACATGGTAAACAGCAGCTTGACCCAGGATGGGTCTGGTGCAGCCAGCCCAAGGAGGGGATGGTGGCCGTGGGATAAATATGTGAACTGGGAGAGAAATCTGCATTTCCCCCCCTTGTCTTGCCAGCAAAGTCCTGGGATTGGAGGCTGGCGCTGGGCGCCACGGCTGGGAAAGGGAAGGAAAGGAGGAAGACGCTGAAGGTCGAACGTGGGAAGGTCGGACTTTTAGAGGTCAGTTGTGCACTCCGGCAGAGCGCTCGGTTCAGCCCCCTCCGTCCTCCCTCTCCCAACAGCGTCCTGGGTAAGCCCCACCCAGGAGAACGGGCACTGCGATGGGCAGCGCGGCGCCTCCTCCCATTGCCCCCGTGCCGAGTGTGTCCGGGAA